CCCTTTCCTGTCTGTCTCCAGCTGTCCTATCAAATAAAGGCACAAAAGCCAAAAAATATACTTCAAAAAATCTTAAAATGCAAACACAAGAAAAAACATACAATACAGTCTACTCATCTTCCAGCCACTGATAGGAGTGGAAATCAATCTGTTTTTTTAATGTAAAAGTTACATTTTTACTGAAGGTATTACTGTGGAAACAACATATCATTTCAAAAAGTAAATTCCAAGAAAGAAAAAATGTTGGAAAACCATAGAGGTGCATGCCCCACCTGGTGAACAATCTAGCACTAATGTTGTTTTTATAAAAATCTAAAATCACACCAGTAGACACGGATGCTGTAAAAAGCCCTTTAAAGCAGGTGGATTTTCGTGTTACTGTAACTCAAGAAAATGCTGTATAACCCATATTTAGGGAGTAACTGAACACAAGTCTGTTTCCATTCTGACCACACCCAGATTCACTGACGGCTGTGAACAGTGCACAACAGAAAGTCCTTTGATTTACCTCTAACTGTACCAAACAGTGATGTCACGTTGTCCTGGAGTACACATGTACATCACTGCAGCGAGGTCAGAAATTAAACCACTGGAGGTCACTAAAACAAGATTTTCAGGGGGTGTTAAAAACTAGTCCAGGTGGTTCAGTATTACGAGTTGAACCAGGGTTTATTTTGTCTCAGCTCTGCGTTTTCCTTAAAATAATCTCCAAATCAGGGCAGTGCTGGTACTGTGGTTCAGGCGGCTCTGTCCAGGTGGATTGTGGGAGTCTGTTAAGGCCACTGGTAGGAAAGGTGATGACCGCCGTGTCGCTGAAGACGTCAATCAGTCGGGACGGACAAGGCAGCTGTCTCTCCTCACACACAGACAGAGCTTGAGTAATGTAGCTGTAGTCCTGCTTGAACTCCCTCTCGATTGTCCTGTTGGGACGACAGACAGAAAACGTCACCTCACCTCTCATTTCTCCCTCCCTCCCTCATTTTCCCCTCATTGATGTCTTGTACAAACCTTTCCCTCATGCCATTGAAGCTGTTTCCAATGATAATCGTGAGAGGAAGAGATTGTGTACTCCAGTTCTTCCACAGAAGGTTGTTGTACAGGGCTTTCCCACAATGCATCAGGTAGAAGAGTGTGGGCTTAGTCGCCAGACGCTTCCCCTCCTGCACAATACAGTAAGACAAATAGACGTTTTTGCATTGATTTCCTACCTTCCGGGCAGACATAAGTTATGAAAATCAACTTGCAGTGACCTGAAACTTGCTTGAGATTAGTCATCTTAACTTTTATAATTGTTGTTTGTTAATTAATTATTTGCATTAATGTGCTAAAAAGAATATTTCAGACATTTGTGATTTGAAAAGCCACCAAACAGCAACTTTTAAATGCAATAATCTACAAACTTTCTGGATCTGAATTACTGACAGAAATGCTTAGGGACAACAATGGAAGACTTTACACAAAACACTCCGCACATACAGCTCAGTCGCTGCATAACAATATCTCTGAGTTTCTAGTCTCTATAAATGTATTTTTTATGCTGTCTAATAAAAAATCTAAAGAGTTTGATTTAAAAACTACTAGCAACTTGGTAGTACTGTTAAGTAATTGTTATTGTATTTTCCTAAATGCTGCAACATTCTGGCACAATCCACTTGTTCTCTGCACTGTACACCTGCTAACTGTTTTTCACTTGTCTGACAGGATTAAAATAAAACAATTACTGACCTCATTTTCTGTGAGTACGGTCAGACCCAGCTCTTTCAAAACATCCCTCTCTCCAGAGGAGAAAGCAGGGTCATAAACAGAGCAGTCCTTCAGTGGAATCTAAAGGCAGAGGAGCAGTGAGACAGAGTTTATAATAAACAGGGTCTCGTCATGTGGAGTGTTTGTTATCTCACTGGGTGAACACATCCTCTCACCTCTCCTGCATCCAGCAGCAGCAGCAGCATGGCCAGTTGGTAGCGAGCTGAGACACAGGAGGAAAAAGAGCCCAGGCCATAACACACACACTCCAGTTGTTGTCCATCTCTGCTCCTCCCCAGCTGCTCGGTGGGACCCTCAGTGTCCCGGTTCTCTGGAGGTTGTGAGAGGACTGCTGATCCTGCCTCCAGCAGCTGCTCTGAACACAAGAATCCTAAAAAGGTCACCGAGCTGCAGGCTAAATAATACCACAGCCAGACACATGATGTAGTGATAACTTTCCACTCACCTTTCCACTCCGGCCACAACTCCTCACATCTTAGCTCAGACCTATAGAGGGGGGAAGCAAAGTCACTGCACTTATTACAACTCATTTGTGCACAAGCATGTCTAGGAAATATGTATCCACGTGGAAAAACAGTGATATTACAGGACTCAGCTGCTTACACTGTGTCTCTGACTCGTTTAACAGTTCTCCCGACGTCCAGCTGCTCCTGGCAGCATGTTGAATTTGAGGACACCTGAAGTGGGTTTGATTTCCGCGCTGCGCCTTTTCGTCGCCGGGCCACCTGCCACTGCTCCCCGGTGTCCGACATCTGAACTAATCTACCTGGTCCCCATGTACACAGACAGGCAGACGAGGCTGCAGCAAGTGGGACATTTTAGAGTGTAACACACGCGTTTTCCTCTTCCGGTGTTATGTCAAAATAATGTTTAATACCTTATTGTGTATTCTTGTGTCTAACTTATAGCTCGACGTGGTTAAGAAGGGAAATTGAGCTTTTCTGAAGCACTGAATTACTATTTATTTTGTTCACTATTTAGGAACATTTGTTACAGTAAAAAATGGTGTGGACGATAAAATTAAATTAAATCTGAGAGATGAAACAGTGGTTAAGTGGTTTCACTGCTTTTATCTGGTAGAAAGTGGATAAAGTTGTGGTTTTGGACACTCTCATAGTGCTTTTGTGTTTAATTACGACGGAGTATTAGGGCCATACTAAGAAAAAATATATATTTTTTGGTAAATTACAAGAATAAAGTCGTTTTAATGAGAAAAAAGCTTTCGAATAGAGTTATAAATATCTGACGGGACCGAAGAATAAAAGTCGTAAATTCCAAGACGAGAATAACACAGCTTTATCTCAGTAAATGTTTATGAACTTTATTCATCTCGTAACCTATGATTTTATACTTTATTTACTGGTAATATACGACTGAGTTTAATTCTAGTAAGTATTTAATGAACGTTATTGCTTAGTAAATAGTTTGATCATTTGACTTTATTCTTCGTAATATATATACGAACTTTATTCTAATAGTAATTATTATGACTTTATATCTCCGTATGACAGTAAAATTATATAATAGGTACTATATATTTCTCGATAAATTAATTTATTAGACTTTAATTCCTCCGTAATATTACGAAGAATATTTCTAGTAAATTACGACTTAATATGTTCGCTTCAATATTACGAGAATAAAAGTCATAACATTACAGAGAATATAAGAGTCTAATATGTGGACGGAATAAGTGTTATTACTAGAAATAAAGTCCGTAATATCTACACGAGAATAAAGTCATAACTATCTACCGGAAAAAGAATCACAGTCATAATATTAGGTCTACGAGAAATAAAGTCCATAATATTCACGTAGAATTAAAGTCGTAATATTATCGCGAGAATTAGTCATAACATGTACACAGAATAAAGTCACTAATATTAGCTAACTAGAGATAAGAATAAAGTCGTAAACTAGTTACGCAGAATAAAGACATAATATCAGGTCTACGAGAATAGTCATATATTACGAGAATAGAAGCTGGCTGTTTGGTTGAGTTGGTCCAGGCGTCAGATATTGATAACTCTATCGAAGGGCCTTTTTTAAAAATCATTAAAACGACTTTCATTCTTGTAATTTACCAAAAAATGATATATTTTTTTCTTAGTATGGCCCTAATACTCCGTCCGTAATTTAAACAGCCAAAAGCACTAATGAGAGTGTCCAAAACCACACTTTTATCGCACTTTCTACCAAAAATAGAAAGCAGTGAATACCCAGCTTAACGCACTGTTTCAAATCCTGCTCAGATTTAATTTAATTTTATCGTCCACACAATTTTTACTGATAACTAAATGTTGCCTAAATAGTGAAGGCGAAAAATAAATAGTTTCATCTTCGGCTACCATTCTTCTTACACAACGTCGAGCATATGATTAGACAGCAAGAATACCATGATAATAAATATATATATTGACAATAACACCAGGCGCGTGGTTCACATCTAAATGTCCCACTTGGGCTGGCAGCCGTCGTCTGCCTGTCTGTGTATCATGGGGGACCCAGGTAGATTTTCAGATGTCGACACCGGGAGCAGTGGCAT